CGGTACAGAAGAATGCTTGTCGCGATGAATCAAACTGCCCATAGTTGGGCGAAAAATGAATACTCGCGGTGACAGACGTGCAGGACTCGAAATATGTTTCCGGTTGAAAAATTGTTCCTGAACCTCTTTCGTCCGGAATACAGATTACAAATTCTCGCGACAAAAAAAGAAGAGAAAACCTAACCTCAAATTCTTACAATAAATATGTATTTATATGTATATTATAGTCAGGAATAAATACAATATGTGACAAAAGTTTCCAAATTCAGATTGTAAGAATGATTTTTCATTTGATTCACGTATTGACGTTCTTTTTTTATATTTTAATCTTTGAAACTTCTTTCATTCGACTATAATTAATTATTAAACTCAGAGTCCAGGAATTTTTGTTACATATTGTAGGACAAATTTTTTTCCGAATCCTATTCAATCTTCTAAATTGAAAGTACAATGGAAACAAGGAGAGGAAAAGAAGGTCCTGAGAAGGACACAATTAAGACGATTCCATTACTTCAGAAATGAATTTACCAAGAGAAACTGTACGCTTTTTAGTTCGAGCATACTTGACACTGGAGCTCGACACATTTTTCATGTGCGCAAAAAACAAATGGTTAAATTTTATGAAACACAGGCTGGTGTCCAGAAGTTTGGGATAAAATATTGTGCTGGCCATCAACGGCACCTGGAGAACTGGCCATCCTGTCCTGTCCATCCTATATCGCCGGATTCGATGTCCAGGTAATCAGTGAAACCAATATGGCGACGCCCATTAACGGGATATTCGATCAAGCTTCACGCGATAATTTATTTGAAAGAAACTACGTGGTATTTGAACCTGATATTATGCACACGTTTTCGTCCATCCTTGGGAAATACTCGAAAATTTTCTTGTGGAAAAATACTTGCTATAAAAAAAGTAATACCTTAGAATATGCGAGGCATCGTTTTTTCGAAAAATTTCTCGATTCGACTTTTTCTAATCGGAAAAATAGCAAAATTAGTTTATTAATTCTTACAGCAGGTAATAGAGGGATGTTTGTAAAATATCCTTGCCAAATTTGAACCTAATCGACCGTGTACTTTTTGAGATATCAATACCTATATTTTCGAAAACACATTTTGCAAGAACAATCCTTCGTGGCCCGCTCTAACTTTGTCAATATTTCAAATTTTATACGAATTTTATAATTTTATACGAAAATATTGTTTGCACACACGCCGCAGACAGCATGTACTCTCAGAGTACCTACGTAAAATATTTTCAACTTACGTCACTGAAAATGAACGATGTTCAGTCACGTCGAACTCATCAAAACTCTAGCGAAATGGCCATAGTTAATGTGCATAGCTAAGATTAAAGCTTCAATTGCCCAGGCGAACGCGTCCAGGCAATGCATGTCAGATGGCCAGTGGTTCTGGAATAACGGCACGAAGGACAACTGGAGCAACTACACACAGTGTTACAGGGACCCTCTGGTCACCCTTCTCATGGAGCTGCCTGGTGGTCAACAGAACAACGACACCCTCATTAAGGTAAATGCTCCCAGTTATATACGACAAGGATCTCGCATAAAATGACAATCGATTCTACTTAATGGCTGGAGGGATATTCAGAAATATTCAGTAGGTCAGAAAAGTATTCGTACACCTTCTAATCCTTTCACTGCTGGCAACTCGAAAGTAAAGCTCTGGCTGTGTACGACTGAGTTATGGCATTAACAGTCATACAACACATTTCGTTAGCCAAATCATTTTTCGCTGAACACTTTGTATTTTATATTTGCAAAATAAGTAACGTGTAAATATAAGAAATGGATGTTGGCGTCGAGTCCTCCATAGAGGAGACGCGGCGACTTCTAAGGGTCGCGGATCTTCTGTTTACGGATCGGCGATAGAGAGTTCGACCGCCGATCTCAAAGGTACGCGCGTGTGGCCGACGACGCGAAGTCATGGTGCTGCATGGCACGTGTAAAGCGTTAAGGGTGTTCTCGAAGGTTCTGGCCACAGAGTGGGGAAAATGCGGCATCTTCTGGTAAGAGGACCGTGAGAGACGGCATGGCACTTATCTTCCAGAACCTTCAACGAATACGCATCTATACATCGTTCAAAATAAGAGTAACCTCGCTCTCGGATCGATTCTCGTCCGTTCTGCGCATAGACAGAGAGCGCAGCAGAGGGTAAGACGGAGACAAACGTAGGCGGTTAAGTGGGGGTTTGGAGCGTTCTAGTGGTTCTAGCCCTGCCTTAGGCACGCCCCATGCGCGAAGTGAGGTTACTCTTATTTTGAACGATGTATAAGTGGCAATCTTTATATTATATCTAACATGGAATAAGAATACGAAAAGCGCCGATAGTATCCAGCGTTCGATTATCACTGAGCTTCTATAGGCGCCGATAACAGTGAAAGGATTAAAACGGAATAACTTTTTTAAAATTGGACCAAATAACTTGAGCTCTTTTTTCAGAAATTAGAAGGATCAGTTCGATAGATGACGTGCAAACAAAATTTTGAAAAAATTGCAATTGGTCGGAAGCGCGACGAAAATAGCAAAGGTCGCTTTTTAGAACTTTTCTATCCGAGCCCGTAATGAAAATTTAAAAATATACGTTTTATAGATTTATGCCAGTTATATGCAGGCTGAAAATTTCATCGAAATCGGTTAACGTTGCTATTAGCTACAAACGGTTAAAAATTATGAAAATCGCAATTTTTCAGAACTTTCGGCCTAGAACTGTAATAAATCTAAAGATTCTTACATCTTTCGATCTGTGCAGTTTCTGCATCAACCGATTCCGATCAAATTTTCAGCATGTCAATAACTGGCGTAAATCTACATATAAAACGTATTTTTCAAATTTTCATTACGGGCACAGGAAACTTCTTCAAAAAAACTCAAGTCGTTTGGTCCAATATTAAAAATGTCATTCTGTTTTAAAGGGTGAGCGAATACCTTTTTCACCCGCTGTAGGTCAGTTAGGTGCATCCTTTAACCGGATTTATGGAATCACATTGACAGGACAGGCTGCATGCCTGTCAGGGGTACATTGTCGACAGTGTTAACTTTAAATATAAAATTTGCAATAGCAATATTAAAAATTGTTAAGCGCAAGGTTCAGGTGCAGGGAAAAGTAACAAGACGCAGTTGTACGGTGATAACACTAACGCAAACATTTATTGCAACGAAGGGTCCATTACACGAAATATAAAACGTGCAACGCACGACTCTCTCTTCGAGAACAATTGAAGTCAACCGAGGCTTTCCACGAGACGCCGCAGACCATCACGGCACCCGCGCGTCGGTAACCTAGAAAACTTCCTCTAGTCCAACAAAAATTACATTGAACAAAATATTTTTATCACAGTCAAACGATGTCTCTTTCTACTAGAAAAAGAAATATTACCATATCTTTACTAGTTTAGCCAAAAAAAAAAAGAAAAGTGATTAAATAAAACAACTTCCCTTTTCTTCCTTATAACTCTTTAGTGAATCATTTTCGAACATGGACCGATAGGAACTTTTCTCCTCTACTTCACCTCCTTAATAATTTCGACATATTCATACACCCTCTATTTATAAGAGAACTTACGGCAGGACTAGTTGAACATTATTTTCGCCATTTTTTATCACTTTTTCGTTCTAATCAAAGTTTAAAGGGCTACTCCGACTCGTGGGAAAGAAACATTCAGTAGAGCAGTACACAGGAGTGATCAATAACCCTTCAAGGGAACCGGAAATCGATAGGAATTACAGAATTGACGTCAAACGTTATTTCAGAAGACGAAGGACAGGGATTAGACGTTCGTTGAAGACGCCCCATTGTGTTCCCATTCTTCCTTGAATCGTCTTCCTCTTCTTTTGACCCCAAACAGATAAAAATTTTACGCAGTAACGAGGGTCTCTTCACGCGAGAGGATTAAACGTTGGATCTAGGATAGTTAGCCGGTCTTTAATAAGGGTTTATGGATGAAATTATCCTCCAGCCTTATAATATCGTCCATTAGCCTCGTGGAAGCTGGTAAATGGCCTAATTATCGCAAATCCTATTTGCAGAAATTCGTTCCCATAGTGAAAACCATCTCGAAAGTGGGATACACGGTATCTTTCTTCACTCTGGTCGTCGCTTTCTTTATTCTGGCCGTTGTCAAGTAAGTATCAACCTGAAACGATTAATTTTTTCCATTTCTAAGCCATAATTTGACGCAACAATTCGAAAATTCCTAATATCGATTTTTCGATGAGAAAATCAACGTTGACTTTCTTTATTTTAACTGCGCTCGACTTGTATACACGTCAATCCAAAACTTTATTTCGATTTCGGTTGACGTGTGTACTCGTCGTGTAAAATAAAAAATTACCATTTACTGTAAAATCTCAAAATTTCAATAAGAAGTAATAAAAATGTTATTTGGTGATATGTTTCCTTTATAGTACCGATGAAACTGCTATGTATTTTATAAAAAAAAAAAAGTACGGGGACATTTCCCGTACAATGTATTACTTTTTACAAGCTCAGTTGATTATTTTCCCCAATGCGTCTTGAAATCAACTGAATTTCATAAAATTATTCTTTTCCTTTAATTTTTCTTGTTTACGAATTTTATTATTTTTTGACAATTTCTAAATTCTTAATAACAATAACCGTTTCAACAATGAATCGTCAATTTTTTATCGAATGAAAATGTAATCCTTCCTCGTTTTGCTTTACTTTTTTCGTAAAATTTGTAACTGGAGCATTTGCCCTGCGTTCGACGTGTATACTCGTCATTGCTTGACTTTAATTGCGCATCCCGTGACGGATTTTTCAAACTAAATTCCACAGTTAAAAGGTTAAGGGTGTTCGCTTATTTCAGGCTGAAAAATAAAAACCTTTTCAGAATTTGATAGGAACAATTTGAATTATCAACTTTATAGGCGTTCAATGTAGGGTTACGTGTTTAATTCACAGTTGCTCGGAAATTTCGATCAATCCGCCTCAAATTTTGCACACACCTTCTACATACGACCTTGCATTACTCCTACGAAATTTATACAAATATCTACGCTAGATTTTTAATAATTAATATATTTCTAAAGAAATCGACATTTTGCCTATTTCACAGCACACCTTCTGTACCACCGGTTATATTTTAACAAAAAAATTCCCGAATCTTCCTCGCACACGTTCAATCACACGTGCAAAATTTCAAACGAATATACCTAGCAGTTTCTTCGCGAAAAAAAAAGTAACCACAAACGTAAGCAACATTTTGTCTGATTTCGAGCGAACACCCTCCAACCACCCCCATAAACCCCCTTAAGCAATTTATACTGATGTCTAATCGCTGTAATCCCGGATCACTACTCCAAGTTTGTCCCGAATTGGACGTAGGAAACTGCGGTGTCCACGGAACATGCTACACATGCACCTGTTCGCCTCGTTCATGCTGCGCGCGTTCATGGCGTTGATGAAGGATATCCTATTCGTCTCCGGGATCGCTCTAGCCTCGGATATGATGATCAAAAACGGGAAGACGTACTGGCTGGTCGACGAGAAGGAGAGCAGCTGGCTGTGCAAGGTGTTTACCAGCTTCTGGCAGTACTTCATCCTCGCCAACTACTTCTGGATACTGATGGAGGGCCTCTACTTGCATAATCTCGTGTTCCTGGCGCTCTTCACCGATGTGAACTCGAGTATAGCTGCCTACGTGTGCCTTGGATGGGGTGAGTCACTGTTAGAAACAAATCTCTGGCCAACGTGCCAGTTCCTTGTCTCTAAAATGCATCTCAAGTGGACCTACAGTCCGTTCAATTTAAGAGTAACCTCGCTTCGCGCATGGGGCGTGCCTAAGGCAGGGCTAGAACCACTAGAACGTCCAAACCCCCACTTAACCGCTTACGGTTTTCTCCGTCTACTGTTCCAGGCGTGACGCTTTCATATACACGGTGATATAATTAATTCTCTATTTACTCTTTTTCTCTTTTTGTGCCTAATGAAATTAGGTACTTTGTAATACGTCACCGGGTAGATTCTCTCCACTCTATGCACTGTTTACATTGTCGTGGCTCTTGGGCCTAGCCGAAATAGCGCTAGTCACATTGGTAGGTAGTAGTGGGAACTGCGCAGAACGGGCGAAAATCGGTCCGAGACCGAGGTTACTCTTAAATTGAACGGACTTTAGGTTACTGGTAGACACGTTACACCTGAGTTAGCTATTGACACGTTGTGTTACCGGTGAAAACAGCAGCAGAGAATTCATTCTTTCCACGATTTATGTCTGGTGTAACAGTGATAGAGAGGACAATACCGCTCTTTTGGTAGATTTACACGTTCTCTTGAGAATTTCTGCGACTCCTTTAGAGAGACTTTTCTAGGAAAAAGCAGTGAAGTCTTTTGTGGGAATTGTGTTCTCAGGTCTGCCAGCTATTTTCGTTACCTGCTGGATCGTGGCCAGAATCACGCTTGAGAACACGTACTGCTGGACCACTCATGAGAATCCCTACCTGTTCCTCATCATTCGTGTGCCTACTATGCTGTCCATTTTGGTAAGACAACGGTATCGATAATTCTACACAGAGTGTACAAGCATTTTTCTTTCATTCGATCACCTAGATAGAGGCTCTACCCAAATATTCGATTATCTCATCTTTCTGCTTTAATTATATCTCTTGAATTAACCGTTTGAGCCAAAAAGTGTAAATTTTATTCCATCTCCCATAATCTGTCTATCTTTTCATAAAAAATTAAACAAAAATCCTGCACGTAATCAATTTTGCCTTTGCCTCGTGTCATTTTCAAACAGTCGTGTTCAGCGAAAATGTCGAAAAGAAAATTGTTAGAATTCTTCGACATCGAGTGAAAGAAGCGCGTTCGCGCAGTTTCGCATTTTTCGATCAGATCTCTGCACTATCCCGTGGCACTCAAAAACGGTTAACGAAAATTTCAAGCAGTTCCTTCTCGTAGCTAATTAACCCACGTGAATTTCTCGTCGTTGTAACGAGAACCCTTTGTGCCCCGAATTCCACAGATCAACTTCGTGCTGTTCGTCAATATCGTGAGGGTGTTGCTGTTAAAACTGAAGTCTACGGTTTCCGAGGAGACACAAAGATACAAGTAAGTTTCTCACCCTAATCTCCGATAACCCTATAGGTGGCTAGATTGTTTACCTAACCCAGTTCTCAAAGAGCTGTTCGAAACTACACTCCTTCTCCAGTTAGGGAAGTTAAATCACTACGATTCCCTTTGAGCTGAAGGGTCGATTTACAAGCGTGAAAAGCTTCCGTCGTTTTGCAGGAGATGGGCGAAAAGCACTCTGGTCCTGGTGCCATTGTTTGGCGTTCACTATACCGTGTTCCTGGGCATGTCCTACAGCATTGGCGTGAATGAGACTGTCGAGATCGTGTGGCTCTTCTGCGACCAACTCTTCGCCTCCTTTCAGGTACGATCCTCGACTTAGACTTTCTTTTTATTCCTTGTTCTTCAGTACAAGCATTCGTGACGTAGTGTTTCCCTCTTTCATTTGTGGATTGAGTGGTGAGATTTGGAAGAGAGGAGATTTTGAGTTGAAAGCGCGGAAAGAAAGATCGTGTGGGGGAAATTCCGTGTGGAAACAGCGCGGTTTATAGTAAACGTTTAGTTTTTCCTTTTATTTCTTTACTCTTGTTAGTACATTATTCCGAACCTCGATCATAAGTCCAAATGAAAATCCCACACGTTCGATTGCAGCTGTCAATTTTCTTAGTTCTTCAGATACTTTCGTTGCTACAGAATCTCTGTTAAGTCATTAGGATTAGTACGTTTCTTTCGCAGCGGTCATAAGCTTGGGAGGCCATCGAGCATTTTACTCTCACTTTGAATTTCGATGTTTTTTCTATGGCCGTTGAATATTTTTACATACATTTACTTTAATACATTTACATGTATTCCGGTTCGGCCTGGCTGGTCACCGAAGCCGTCTCCGCGCTCGGCGATTCCCTGGGCCAACAAACGCGGAAATAAACATTCGGCTACGATAACGACATAACAACACTAACCGGGTCCTTAGCCTCTGCCCGTATTAGGTGTAGCCGGTCGCCGAAGCCGTCTCCGCGCTCGGCGATTCCCTGGGCCAACAAACGCGGAAATAAACATTCGGCTGCGATAACTACATAACAACACTAACCGGGTCCTTAGCCTCTGCCCGTATTAGGTGCACCCGTACCAGAGCACTTGAGAGTGACCGTTGACAAGGGGGCGTCACCTTAGTAAGTTTTCGGTACCTAATGATTGCCAATCGCGTTAGATTCAATCACCTCCCTTGTGGAGTTCGAAAATGTAGTTGACCAACCCGCGTGTCTCACCCCCGCTGAAGGCTCGTATCCGAGGTGTGTTGGAAAGTGTCCGAGCCCTCGATACATAGAATTCATCTGACCACGCTACGAGTAGTTCTTCAGAGATTAGTCAATATTGTAAGGGGTTTTTAGTTTAAACAATACTTCGTCCGGATAATTTCAAAAACTATATGTATTCTCCTACAATCCTTACAATTCTCACGATTCTCACAGTTCCCTCTGCAGTGCTCTTAACGCGTCCTTATATACGGGCCTTGACGCCCCTCTCTTGCCTTCGGGAAACCCTGGCGCAAGTTGGGGGTTTCTACCCGGCAAGGACCGCGTCGCGCGAGCACGTGGCTGGGTCCTTACCTGACCCAGGCCTTAGCGCGTGCGGGAGTTGGGCGTTGGGACCGGGTTTCTCCGCAGACCGAGAGGTCATAAACCAGCCTGAGTCTCTACCTTCACTCAACCATACTCTTACAATATTAATAGTTATTTGTCCTCCTAAAACGGAGGTGGTCCTTCGAGAAACGAACTTGGTAAATTTAGTCGGCACACTTTGTTTTGACAGGTATTTGTAACTACCACGAGCAAGGTCTAACAACCTGTATTCTTTCTTGAATTTCAGATTTCCAAGTTTCCTTCGTTCTTTCTAATTTGAACCTTTTTCCAGAAATTTTCTTCACATTTCACTCTTGTTGCATCAATCCTCCACGTTCTCTGCCCAAATTTTACAAAATAACCTAGACCTCGTCCCGATCTGAACTTTTTCTTTTTCTCTCCTCTTCCAGGGCTTCTTCGTAGCTGTCCTGTACTGCTTCCTGAACGGCGAGGTGAGAACCGAGGTGTCCAGGGCCATCAGGAGCCAAAAATTGCCGCGACTTCGAAGCAGATGGGGCAACAAGCCAGCCGCACACTCCGGCAGCACTTGCAGTTGCAACGCGTCGAAACTTGGCAGACGTCCGAGGCGTTCACGCTGGTGGAAAGAGCCCTGGCTCTGTTTCCTTCACGATAGGACAGCCAGACGCTCCACTCACTCGATGGCGAGTACACAAGGTGTCCTCTCTAACCTATGAAATCCTCTGCACGTCTTCATGCCGTCTCTGGCCTGTTCGCTTTCGTGTCACACGCCTCACCTCGTCTCTCTGCCAGTTTACATGCCTGTTCCGTGTCTGTGTACCAAGCTTTGAAGGGGGAATTTTTGGTGTGCCACAATGAGAATTTAGGGTCAGTACGGACTTTCCTTTGTACGGATCGAATTTTTCTACCCAAAATTTTGATTTCTCTCACCTCTCGAACGTAACCTCAACTTCAAGGACCACCATTTTCATCACCCCGAAACTTTAGAGTCGACGTCTGAAAAGAAGAAATGAATTTTAATAAGTTTCAAATACTCGCGAAGATCGTTTACTTTGTCAACGAAGAAACGAAAATCTTCCGCATCTTCAGTCTCGGTAATTAACCTCGCCAGGACTCGAGCAATATTAACGTTCAACTTTCTTCAACGGTTATTAATTTTCCTGCGTTTCGAACTTCCAGCAGAGTCCTCTTCCTCCACCCTCCCCACACCAGGAGGAGTGTCTTCCATTTATTAGCCTCCGTTTCTTACGTTCGCACTAGTCGGTACGATCATCAGGGAGCATCTGGTACGAATTGCCTCTCTCGCTATCAAGCCATTAATATTTTTCAAGCAAGAAAAGTAAATTGAGATCTCCTATAAAGAGGATCGTATGTCTCTTCCAGTGGCAGACGTCCACATACCGTGATCTAGCCTCTTCGATCTAACATATGAAATTACTTCTTTATCGAGGCAGATATATTTTTCGCGGATCTGAATACCAATCACATGTACACCGCCGCTCAAAAGTACTAGGACACTTGTCATTTTCTGTGAACCTTTCCTATCCCGCGTAAATTATAAATAGTAAATCGCATTCTTTTACAAATTCCATTGGGTATATATACAGGGTGTCCCAGGTTTTAATGGCCAAACGTTGTCAGTATATTCTATGGTTCGAAATAAAAAAAAAATGTTACACAAACGTAGGTCTTTTAGAGCTTGGTTAAAAAGTTATGGCAATAATACGAAACGAAGGGAACAATAGCAGACTCGCGGTTATCGCGATGTAATACAGAAGCAGATCAGCAATATTTACGTTTACTCTGTTTATGCAAGAAGCAGCTAATACTCCATCTGAAAAATGTCCACCGTTTATGGCAATGCAAGATTGACATCAGAAAACATCAGAAGATATCAGATTACTCTGCAAATTTCGTTATTATTTTGCTTCATATCAGTAAATGCATCGTTGATTTTTTGTATCGATTCATTACGCGATCTTGTAAATATCGCGCAAATATTGATCATCTATTTCTGTATTACGTCGCAGTAACCGTGAGTCTGATATTGTTCCCTTCATTCCGTATTACCGCCATAACTTTTTAACGAAGCTCTAAAACACCTATGTTTGTATAACTTTTTTTTTTTATTTCGACACAGAATATACTGACAACGTTTGGCCATTGAAACCTGGGACACCCTGTATTTAGCGTATTCTAGTTGTACTGTTGGCTCCCACAATGTTCACGAAGCCTGATTATATAGCAAATAACTCTTTATTTGCAACACAGTTTGTTATGTAACAGTAATGCAATGTAACTGAGTTCTTAAATGTTAAATGTGTGCGAGTCGAATGTCCTGAGGTTCAAAATTCGTGTAATCGTTCGTACCAGAGTTCAGATTCTATGTTTCACTAATGTGTTCTTACAACAATGCCCTTTTTGTCTATCACCCCAGTCCCTTTATACGGTTTCTGTCCCTTGACGGGGGTGAGATTTGGGTGGGGGGCCAAAACTCCCAATCAAGTTAGGGCCTCGGTCGACGCCCGACACCAACCGCTCACCCTTAGGGAAGGGGTCTTCTGGATGAGGTACGCGTCACCTGGGCTTATGGGAGAAACCCAGGGTAACGGTCCCGCTCGCTCGCATGTGCCTCAGCTCGCGCGGGTTTATGATACGTCAATTGCTATTGAGGTGCACGAAGAAACTCCAAATTCTCTGCTTTTATGAGAGGTTTGGAGCCCTTCTGGCAATAAGGAATAACTAGCAAACGCGTATTCAAACCTTAATCTCGAAAATAGCAGAGTCGCGTCCGTATCGTAAACCTGGTCTAAACTTAAGTATCCTTAACATGTACGATTGCGAATCATTTAATTATTTAAGCCCTTCGCTGTGTCCTTCGTGAAAAAACGTGTCCTAAGTCAGAAAAGAACTTGTGGGAAATCTTAGAGATAGCGTGGAGGAACGTTACATCCGACACAGTAGAGAAATTAATAGCCAGGATGCCCAGAATCGTGAATGTTGTAATAAAGACAAGAGGCGGATATATACACGAAAAGAAGATATACCTAACTATTATTTAAGGTCTTTGGTAAGATATTTAACGAATTACTTACCGTATTATATACTCCAGTGTGATACGAAACAAACCATGTATCGTTTAGTGTTATTCATTACACTAAATAAGGTTTCATAAGATTTTTCAGACATTTGTTAGAATTAAGGAAGTGTCCTAATACTTTTCAGCGGCAGTGTACGTAAAGTTTTCTACAGATATTTTCGCAATATTTTTGTCAAAAATTTCCCGGTGAAATATCGCGTACTTGTTGCGTCCAAGTTTACATATACAGGGTGTTCCAATTTTTATTTTCAAAACGCGACGCACACGCGTAAGTACGTAGTGTGTCTCGAAGGAAACAGATTTTCGAAACTCCACTTAACCGTGTAATAATTGATCAAATGAAATTCCAAGTGTAACAATCTCTCTATATTTACCCTCGAAATTGGGCAAAGGGCTATGGAGGATTAAGGGTGGAATTTTTCAGATATTGGTACGCGAGGAGGTAGTCTAGCGAGCAGCAGGGGCTATTTGGAGATCACTGGGAACGGGCAGAGCGCGCATCCGGGCAGCCAGAGTCAACAAGCGAATCACGCGTCGCCTCTCTACTGCAAATACACGGACCAATCGTTACTCTCCTTCTGCTCGAACGTGAGTGTAACCAATGTACCACCTGATACCGTGTCACATCCTCTCCTTTTCACACCGAGCAATTTCGATAAACGAACGTCTCGAGAATCTTTCGTCCTCGACACTGGACAACGAACGCGCACAGATACCGAACGTATCGTTCCGATTGAAAAATGGAAGAGAAATTCATTTCTGCTCCAGGTCTCAGAAGTGACAGCGTGCACAGGATCGAACGTCGACAGGGTGAGGGAACAGCATCGTTGGAGCGACTCGGAATGCTGCCACTTAGCGTACGAGCTGCACAACTTACACAACGTTCCCCCATGAATCGCCGCCAACTCCAACGCGACTTTTCCAACGGACACAACCTACGGTCCCTGGTTACTTAACTACCGAGAAACTCACGGGATGGAAGTTCCGTGGATTCGGCAAAAATTCATCGAACTCTACCGTAGATTGTAACGCGACAGCACTGCTCGAAAATCTCTGGGATACCTCTTACAGCATTCTTTCGTTCAAGATAAATCCAGCGTGTGACTTTCCTTAGCGAAATCGGACACATTCCGATTGGAAATTTCTCGCCAGCGGATGACTCACAAGGACAGAGTACATAATTTGTCACCGTGACGATACCCGGTGCAGTCGTTAAATTATTTTAACGAGCGCGTTAACCTTCTCTCGTTTTATTAGCGCGCCGCGTGAACCGCGTAAACAATGATAAATAAATCCGTGGAGTTTCGAGCAGCCATTTTCTTTTTCTCACTCTTAATTGCGATCGCAATCGCCAGCCGGAAAGCTCTAAGGACACAGGTTTATTTTTTTACACTCGCTCTCGCGTCCGCAACGACCGGCAACCAACACACTTGCACCGGGGGGAGACCCGTTAATCCGGATTGCGTATGTCACTCGAAAAATCCGGATTAAGCGGGGAGGGTTCCGGTGCTGTCGATATTTTCTTACAAGCGTGTTCCTTCGTGTTTACCAAGCGGAACTCGATAATCCGGATCGTACCTCAGCTCGCGTATACCCGCCTAACGCGAAGTCCGGATTAACAGTATCCGCTGTCTCGCGTTATTTTCCTATCTCCCGCGGAACCCGATAATCCGGACTTGCGAGTAAATCGGACACTGTTATACGCGTACAAAAGTAACGGAGACCTGATCGATAGGAATTTGTTCGTATTCTCTTGGTGTAACGGCCGTGACTCTGTTAATCCGGACCGTGTTCTCTCAATTAGTCCGGATTAACAGGGTCTCGTTTATCTCTTTGCAAGAATTATTACTCGTGACGTGTGTGTACCAATGTTTCTACTGTAAACTCAAAGCAAATGGATGTTTCTATACATATTATGCGTGTGTATGTGTGTGTGTGTGTGTATGCTTGAATGGACGAATGTTTATTGCAAGGAGTGCAGAAAATTTTCCACGTGCAATCTTATCGATATCATCATTATCTGTTATCACCGGTGTCACACACTCGATCAATCGACAGGAGAGATCGTATTAAGTGTAATTAAAGAAATCGAGGTGTACCTCGTCGATTTGAAAGAGAGAGAAAGAGAGTGTGCGCGGTGGTCACGTGGAATTTTTTCGCGGCCCACAGACAAAACGACTTCGTCGTCAATTAACTGTTGTGAATAACTGTCCTCTGTTCTGGATTAGTTTTTTCTTTCTTTTTTTTTTTCGTCAAAGAGAGAACATATCATCGTTACAGAGGTGAAGTTTTTCATTTGAATTTCGACAAATTGTCCCGATTCTATTCCCGTTTAATTAACATATTAATGGATGTAATTACGTGTTAATCGATGTACGAACGTGATTGACTTACTAGATAAGATTTTGTATAATAATTCACAGCTGCCCCAGAGTTTCCATTTTCTCGCAGGAAAGTGGAATTTCTGCTCAAAGGAGACACCTGATTGAAGGAACACTTCAGCACACTTAAGGGCTAATTTTACCTCATGAGCTCTCTACGCCAGAGGCCAAGCCAGGCTCACGTGTATTTGATGTGAAACTCCGTGATTCTAACTGGAAATAAAAAAGGAGGAACAAGCGTGGAATTTTCTTTTGGTATCCTGACACAAAAACCAGCCGCTCTTTTTTCTCCTGTCTCACATTCAAAGATCGTGTTAAAATTCAACGGATCGTTTTATTCGAAAAATCGAACAAACTATAGAAGTTTGTACTAGCTACATCCTCGTTACTGTTATTTACAACTCCACGTCCCTCCGAACCGATAATCCTGACTGTCTAATTATTGCCCGTATTTATTCTGAGATACTCCGTGTGTAGAAACCTCCGTTAGTTGCGTCAATTTCTTTCCCAACAGACCTGGTATTTCGCTGAAAACGAAAGAACAAAAAAGAAAAGTAATATATGTAGTATCGGGGCCTCCGTAGCCAAAAAATATAGGAAGCCGATGGGGGACAGTATAGAGGGAGTGGTTGGCGTAGCGCGCAAAGCCTCGGCTTGCTACGCCGAAGATCCCGGGTTCGATTCCCGTTTTGGGTCCCTCAATATTTTTCCGTCGTCAGTTCCTACAAATGGGGGGGTTCGTCCGGGATGGAAGCATCTATGGCTACACGGAACCCCAGGCGCTCTGAGATGAAAACATGTGAGAGGGGGGAGGGTGCACGTCTCCTAAAAGAGTTGAGAAAAACAGAGTTTCGGCTGAGAGTGCCACTGTGCGGGGAGTGTACCCGAAACTGTTGAGTTTGTCGAGGTGGTGTTTGAACTCTTAGAACATTTGAAGGCGAATGTCAGTTCAGGCTGACCGAGTGTAGTTATATCGAGGGGCTTTAGGGCCTCCATACCCAAGAAATATAGGAAGCCGATGGGAGACAATACAGAGGGAGTGGTTGGCGTAGCGCGCAAAGCCTCGGCTTGCTACGCCGAAGGTCCCGGGTTCGATTCCCGTTTTGGGTCCCTCAATATTTTTCCGTCGTCGGTTCCTACAAATGGGGGGGTTCGTCCGGGATGGAAGCATCTATGGCTACACGGAACCCCAGGCGCTCTGAGATGAAAACATGTGAGAGGGGGGAGGGTGCACGTCTCCTAAAAGAGTTGAGAAAAACAGAGTTTCGGCTGAGAGTGCCACTGTGCGGGGAGTGTACCCGAAACTGTTGAGTTTGTCGAGGTGGTGTTTGAACTCTTAGAACATTTGAAGGCGAATGTCAGTTCAGGCTGACCGAGTGTAGTTATATCGAGGGGCTTTAGGGCCTCCATACCCAAGAAATATAGGAAGCCGATGGGAGACAATACAGAGGGAGTGGTTGGCGTAGCGCGCAAAGCCTCGGCTTGCTAAGCCGAAGGTCCCGGGTTCGATTCCCCCGTTGGGTCCGTCAATATTTTTCCGTTATCAATTCCTACATATACGTACAAAATTCTGTCTTTTGTGCAAAAAAGAAAAAAGTGCAAAAGCTGTCCCAGAATTGGAACTTTTGTGGCGTAATGAATGGATTTGAGGGATGAGGATGAATATCTGTACCGCTGCGTTCTGCAGGATATTCGTGAAAAATCCGCTTACCAGTTGGTGACATTCTCCGCGTCGTCGCAGGTATTTATGTCCTCGTTGAATGCCTTTCCCTTGCCACAATTCTGCAACCGCGGACGACCGTTTACGCAGATGTAGTACCGCTGACAGTCGAGATGGCTGCGATAGAGATGGATTCCATCCCTGAGATTCGGATTCTTCAGCTCGTCTGGACACCGGAAACCCAGGAAGGCTGCCAACGTTCATTGGAAGTGATAGATTAGAAATTTCGGGGCAAAATAATTGTTTGGAATTTTTTGGAATTATTTGCTTTAAGCAAAGTTGGCATGAAATTGAAGAATAACTTTTTTGGAATTTTTTACCTTTTTTTGGGCGATGTTTATGAGAATTTTATGTGTACGGAATACAACAAAAAAATTGCAACGTTGATTAGAAATGATTAATTAGAAATTTGAAGCAAAAATTATTGTTTCGATTATTTGAGAATTTTTTTATTTAAGCTAGAGTTCGCGTAATGATCAGGGGAATTCTAGAAATTACATTATTATTATAAAGGTGGTTCGAAAAAACTTCTCTTTGACTTTCTGGGAATTTATAGAATCTTCTCCTCTTTGACGATATTTATCCAGTGGAATAGAAAAATTTCAACGTTGATTGAAAGTGATTAACAGCCTGAATGAATTTTAATCTTTTTTCATTCCACGTAGAAATTTCATAAAAGGTTTCTTTGGAATTTGAAAGTAGCTAACAAAAATAACATCGAAACTGTAGCAGTAACCACAAAATTTAAAGTTTCTTTTATTAAAAAAAAAAAATGTGTCTAATTATCAAGTTTACCATTTGTACACAAAATAGTGGTTTTTTAAAGTCTCCTACCTTCGGCATCACAATCCGGCACCTGATCAGGCCAGTCACAGCGGTAGGTGGCAGCATTGAAGGCCAAACCTTCGGGACAATCGAAGATATGTCCCCTACCATCGGCGCAGTTCATGAATTGACCGCAGTTCTGATGGTCCCCGACCTTGAAGTAGCCATATTGGTGAGGACAGATTTCAGTTGACTGTGCAGGCTCTAGAAATTGGCAGAGAAAAAT